AAACTAAGAAGCTGAATCGTCTTTCAAAGCTACTTTCTTTGTAAGGCAGGAACAGAGAGACAAAATAGTAAAGTAGTTATAGGCAACTTCAGTTTATTTCAGGTTTCCTTTGTGCATGTGTATGTACTAAGGTAAAGGGAATAGTATTGTATTTAATTAAATTGTCATAATAGGAGGATGCCTATCATGTCTGTAATCCCAATTTCTCCAGAAGTTCATATAAAGAGCTCAGCTTCTGTTTGCTTAGGGCTTTAGTGTGGGTGCCCCACTTGTAGCTTGATCTTCTGGTGTGCAAGAGCAAGAATAATAATCTTTCATAATTTTTAACACTGTATATAAATACAACAGCTAATCGCCCTCCTCTTTAAAAATTTTAAGTCTTTACCATTTCTTGAACAATTTATTTTCTTGTTTTGTTTTTAAAATCTATTTATTCTGTATACTGTGTTCTGTCTCCATGTACGTCTGCACACCAGAAGAGGCATCAGCTCTTATTATCGTTGGTTGTGGCCATTGTATGGTTGCTGAGAATTGAATTCAGGACCTCTGGAAGAGCAGTCAATGCTCTCAACCTCTGAGTCATCTCTCCAGCTCCCTATCCTCTGGTTTTAACTGTCATCTTGGGATTCTTCCATGTGACATTCTCTGTTGCCTTGTCTTTTTGTTTTTGTTTTACCGAGATTTTTATTCTCTAATGGCTTGCTGGGAAAGATAGGTGAGACGTGGTTTATTTTCATGCTTGATAGATCCATTTGTTTTTACCTGGTACCTTACTTTTGCTGTTCTCTGTGCCTGGGTGTACTACTGTTTCTCTTGTGCTGCTATTTATATTCGTTGCTTACCCTGACTTGGGCCTCTGTACTTCTACCACTTCAGAGAGTAAACTCCAGTAAAATTTAATTGTTGGTGTGAAAAGGATAATTATTAAACTGTAGGAAAAGATGGAACGGTTCCAAATGTCTGAGAGCATCCTCTTGTTCTCATACAGCTCCCTCATCAAAGTGGGTACCAAAACACACTTGCTCTCATGGAAGTTAAATTAAGGTCTTGGGAGCAGACAAATAGCTTTCTGTTTCAGTTTCATCCTGCCTCTGTTTGCCTCTCAAAGTTCTAGTTATTTACAAATTTAAATTATAGTCACAAAACAGGGTCTTATCTGTTTACTTGGCATTATGCAGCTAAAGACTTGACATTCACTGTCTCCTTTTCTTTAAAGTTACCTATGGTTATTGGGTAGATAATAAACTGTCTTTTATAGACATGTTTGTGTGCCTGAAAGCATGCCATAAAGGCCAGAAGAGGGCTTTGATGCCCTGAAACTAGAGTCATAGATAGTTGTGATTGCTGTGACCTGAACCCAGGTACTCTGGAAGAGCACCAAGTGCATTTAACCATTGAGTCATCTCACTAGCCTGAGGTTTTTTATTTTGTTTTGGCTTTGGTTTTGGTTTTTTGAGACGGGATTTTTCTGTGTAATAGCCTTGGCTGTCCTGGAACTCGCTTTGTAGATCAGCTTGGCTTTTAACTCACAGAGGTCTACTTGCCTCTGCCTTCCAGAGTGCTGGAATTAAAGGTGTGCACTACCACACCCAGCTTTAGTTTCAGTTTTTCTGAAGTCAGTTTTGTAGAGATACAATTTACCTGTAGTAAAATTTACCCTTTAAAAATTACAGTACTTGTGGTTTGATACATGTAGGTACTTGTGTAATGGTCATCTCAGTCAAGATCAGCATACAGAATATCTACATCCTCCCTACATGCCTTTACAGGCATTTCCCCACCAACACACTCCTGAGCTTTTTGTACTGCAACTCAGTGATCCTTGTGTCAGAGTTTATGTGGAGTTACTGTGCAGTTTTGTCAAGTTTCCCTTGAGACTGATGCTTGTGAAATTCATCCACATTAATGATCAGTGTGATGCACTGGTAAGTGTCATGGACGTGGAAACTGAAAGAAATTAATATGTAGCCAGGACAACTGCAGACAAAGAAGGAAAGGCTTTTGTTCTCAAAAAACAGTGTGGCTGGTGTTTCCTGACTGTGTTTCCATAGATATTTCATGATATAATTGGAAAAACATTGAAAGGAGGCCTAGGAAACTATATTAATTTGTGTTTTAAACTTCCTTTGAAAACTTGGACAAGTCATTCTATTTTGAGGGCTTGTTTTATTTCCCTCTTTAAAGTTCCAATCTGAGTATGGGGAAGAGGATGAAGTTCTGTTGTGTGTCTTTTTCTCTCTCTCTCTTTGTTCCTCTCTTTGTCCTTACCCCTGCCCCCTTCCTCTCTTTCTCTCTCCTTCTCTCTCTTCCTCCTTACCTTCTTTCTTTCTTTAATACTTTTTTGGGTATACTGGAAGAGCGAAGCACTAGGGTGCCTTTTTTTTTTTTTTTGTTAAAGAATGAAGAAAGTTTAGCAAATTGAGTAGTTTGAAATGTTACCTCAGGGGCTGGAGAGATGGCTCAGAGGTAAAGAGCATTTCCTGCTCTCCCAAAGGTCCTGAGTTCAATTCCCAGCAACCACATGGTGGCTCACAACCATCTGTAATGAGGTCTGGTGCCCTCTTCTGGCTTGCAGGCATACACACAGACAGAATATTGTATACATAA